TATATTTGTAATGTGCTACTCATAAGGTTGCTGGAAAATCCGTGACATCCATGGTTTCATATTATAAAAAACGGCTCATCAGTCAGCTTTGATAGGTCCAAGAAAGCGTTACATGAACTTACACTGAGACCGCGCCACTTTTTCAAGTATCGTCGAAGTGCCGCCGGGACCTGAAAGATAAGTTAATGTGGAAAAAATCTGCAGAACTGGAAAACCGACAAACTAAAAAAACTCTGATGGAGTTTCTCCTCAGAAAAAAGTGTTTTCAAGCGGTAAAACGATTTACGGGTAAGTATCCATGTGGAAGCTGTGATAAGTTGGTACCTTTCACAACGCGAAGCCGGTTCACTCTACACTCGTTGGAGAGGACGAATGAGAACCAATGAAGATGTGACATTCTGTAAAGGAAAATGAATTGCGCCGAAGCACAGAGCGGGACCCGCCCAATTCCACCATCCATGACGGGGCAACAACCTTTGTCCCGGGTTTGAAAGTAGCCACTTTAGAAAAGAGAAAAAACGCCTGAATGTTCGTAGCTGAAAACAAGATTTCGCCCTAAGAGTAAAGTTAATCCACACCGGAAGCTGAAGATCACTGTGCAGCAATTTCAGTCCTTTTGAGATCCTCAGTGGTTTGAATGTCACGAAGATCCAGGGAGATCTGAACTCGCCTCCTCCTGGCTAGCAGCCAAACACCAGACAGTTCGGTCACGAGCAGTTGTTCAACAGTGCGATTAACTCACCAGAATAGTTGCACAGGAAGACCATTCTCCCGCGATTGATGTGAACACGAATTCTAGAATCCACGCAACCACCTACAACTTATCTATAACTGCTGTCCAAAGGATTGCCACTTCCAAGCTCAACTTTCTATTCACCATTCGGCGCTTTGAGTTTTCGACGGTTGCCGTATTGTGAATATTGCATCTTACCACTTCTCTCTCTGGTGTCTCGTGCGATCCTCCTTTTTGTCCAGTTTTTCACTATGGCGTAGTTTGCCTTCGAGTTTCCTGTTTGTCTGTTCTCATCAAATCTGTCATCATCTCATCAAATCTGTCAGAGAGAATAGCACAGTCATACCCACAACAAAACACACATTCGTATAGCCTTCCACTCAGACTAGATACACCAGCTCAGATGATGACTCAGATGATGACTCAGTTTGAGGTAGTTCAGTGGATTGGGCGTGAACTTACAAAGTTTTGGAAGGTCCATGGTTCAGACCTGACCCAGGTTTCTCGACTGGTCCTTTCTATTCTAGCGCAGTCTGACAGTATCTCAGCTCTCGTGCTTCTTTAGGGTGGTACACCGGTCATACACCGAAGGGGTGTTATAACTCGGTGTTCAGTCGGTTGTGAAAACCCCCGACGAAAGTTTATTTCTTGACAAAACACTGATCATGATGTTGCTGAAAACTTTTTGGCACGTCTGACAAAGGCAATTAGTGGTAGCCGATCCGTTATGCCTTAGAAGTGCCTAGTGATACAATGGATTAAAGTTGAGAAAGAAATTAGGATCAACAGATAAGTCATCGCTCTGCAATAAACTTAGCGAAATGCACTCATTTGCATGGCTATTTATTATTGACAGGTGACTCACTGGGAACTCAGCTGAATCCCTCTTTTACGATTTTTCTAATCAACTGAATGTGCCCCTCTCATGTTCCAGTGGGCACGATACTCGAGATATCGGATTACATTGTGAAGACCTAATACACCACTTCCAAGGTTGCTGAACACTCTTCGACAGCAATGTTCCAGATGAGTCTCACGTCACATCCAGAACTGGTATGTAGATGAACGTGTTTTGCAGATTTCGTACAATTTTGGCTCAAGCAGAACATAAATTCTATGGAAATCCGAAGACTGTGCCTAACTGATTATCCACGAGAAGGGCGGGACCGGTCGCGGACTGTCGAAGAGTTTTCAGCGACCTAATGAATAGTGCATTACGTCTAGTCAGAAAACTTGTTACTAGTCCTGTTTTCGATTGGGAACTATGACTCGTGACACAGAAAGTGACTGCCAAAGCAGTGAAATAGAATACGGGAGAACAGAAGGCGTAGAGTTTGTGGGAATGTGTAGAGCGGTTTTAGATCAGCTGAGCTGGTAGCGGCTTTCGCCCATGATTGAGCAGGCCGAGCATTGAGCTGGATTCAAACCGACCGAAGTCCACATAATCTGCAATAACTCACATAAAATCAACAAATGCAGACCAGATGAAACATACTTTTCTGAGCGACTCTGCTCAAAATTCGGCCGTAATCACCTTGGCGGACAATGTTTTCGTGTCAAAAGTGCAGTCTTGCCCGACAAGGTTTATTAGCCTCTCTTGGAAAGACTGAATGACTTATTTTCCACGGGCATTCACAAAAACTCACATGGAAAGCAGACTATATGCAATTTCAACTATTTAAGTCCAGTTCTACAGACCCCATGAAAATGAAGCAGAACAAACGCCAATCTTCGAAGCAAGTTTATCGAAAGTTGACTTTTTCGGGAAAGGTTTTCCGTCGAGTAAAAAACTGGGCAGTATTACCTGAAACCGGTCAACATAAACCGATCTGGTTCTACCTTCTATTCAAAGGTGATAACCCCCTTCCCTCATCATCGATCGATTACAGCCTTCGAACAAAGATTTTTGCTAGCTCACTGTCTAGGAAACTGTCTAGCTAAAAAGGGTCTTCTGCTTGCGTCCTGCAGGCTTCAAGCGTCCGTCGCGCCATTTGATAAACGAGTCAGTGGGTCGACACAATCAGGGCACCTCCTTGGTTACCCTTTGAGGCGTTGGCAGACCAAACTCCATCATTCAAGTGTGCACAAGTTTGCATGTCCAGGCGTGATAATCCAGCTACATTCATCCTGCGCTGTCGATATAGTGGTAACACTCTCCTCGCGCATCAGATGTCTGAAGTTCAAACCTAGACACAAACAAGCCTGTGCAGTGCTGACGGGCTCTAATATAGGCGAAACTCAAGCCCCGGACTGAAATATCTCTGTACAAACATCTTACGTACTTAGTGTTCAATGGCCACCAACGTTTTTATCGTAGTCGCATAACAGAATGTGTGAAAACGGTTCTTGCTAGACTAAGATGAAAATTGAACTCATTCATACTTACCAGTCGAATACGTTGTGACTGGTTTTCGTCGATTTTGAGGCTCATCGCTCTGGGGCGTTTGTCGATGGTGAGCATGTGCCATCGACGGAGCTGCAGCGGGATTCTGTACTGCAACAACACCGTGTCACTTGATCTCCCAACCGAATCCGGGAACTTTGCATTCAGTGCTCGCAACTCAGTTCGGCAAGCGACAACTACGTAACCGTTTGGATCAATATAGACACCTAGGAATGGACCCATTCTCGTTTTGGGCGGGAGGAAAAAGAGTAGTCCTGAAAAAAATCAGGTCAATAATGAGTAGCGGAACCCTCTATCCATATAAACTTCGACATATTACCACGAATTCAACAAGAGTTAGCTGACAGACTCAACACAATCGATTTTGACCGAACATGCACTTGAAGACATCACATACCAGGTACTTGTGTCGCCAGAAATGTAAGTCCAATGCGCAACTTTTTCCCGTTCATTGCTTGTGGTCCCTTTGGTCCTGGTAGTCGGATGAAACTATTACCGCCAAACTGAGGAATGACGGTCACCACTGTGGGGTGGGAATGAGACACAGGCAAGTGCAAGATTTCACTCTCAAAACAAAGATGTAATCTTCATCTGACTGGATTGTTTCACAACCGGATAAGTGCTACGGCTTCACACAGCTCGGTGGTTAAGTCGTGAACCTACAAGCCGGAAGGCTTATGGTTTGAACTGAACCTCAGCATCTTGATTGCTTCATTCTATGCTTGGGAAACCTGAAATTATGTAAGTCCTCCTGCTTCCATTGGACAGGAGGCAGTTAGGCACTGTAGGCGATTTACGGCAATGGAACATCACTGTCAACACTGATGTTTCTCTCTGGTGAATGTGTCCAGCGTTCACCTAGTGAAACTCCGACAAACTGTTTACTATCATCTATTTCAAAGTGGAGTACTCGTCTGAAGTATCTGTGAACGATCATACCAAGTGCACAAGACGAAGGAAAGGTGGACTCGAACTAACAAACTCACAAACGGCATCGATTACCAGCTGAGCTCCTAGGAATGCTGCTCATCGCCAAATTAGCAGTGTGACTCATTACACATGCGCCTCAGTGAACAAGAGCTTAAAAGTGTCAGCACTAAGTCAATCTACTGGTTGACGACTTAGTCAAGTCCAAACTTGACTATTTATGATTGTAAATTACTCATTAGCGAATCTGAGAAACAGTTGGAAAGTCGAAATGCTCGAGAAAAAGTGAGTAATTTTGTAGGAATAGATGAAAGTATTTTCGAGAACGGGTTATCTTATCCATGTTCTAGATAGGATAGCTTAGTGATTAAGTTACAGACTGAATAACCGAAAGACCCGTGGTTCGAACCAGCATCTCGACTGCTCTTGCCTAGGCTGGGGTAACTCGAAAAAGCTAATCTGCCATGCTTCCTTCGTGTGGTTTGCCAGTTAGGAACCGTAGAGCTGTTAAAGTTTAACGGCCATTTCTTATGGACATAATCGAGATGTGAACCATTGGTAGCTACGTCATTTGTGTTCGAAACTCGGAATTCTCATTCAAAGTAGCGTGGTAATGAGAAGGAACAGGTGAACGACTGTGTAGTGTATTTCTAGATTGGTTTTGTAAACAGTGACGGTAGTGAGAAGAGCCAGGAGAGTATGACCAGAAATACATTTGCTTCTTCCAAGGAGCAACAGCGACCTTATGAATAATGTTTTGTGTACATATCATAAGCCATGTCACTTCAAGGCTTTATTCCTGGAAGATTCGAGTTTGTCAAGAACCTTTCACGACTGGATCCTTCGTGGCAGTCATGTTAATCTTGCAGGAATCCTTTGATACTTTTGATAGGCGGAAATAGCGATTTCTATACCTGCACGTGGGCTGTTGAGGAGAGAAAGTGTCCCGAGAGTTCCATAAAAATGCTGTTTATACCGATTCATTTGTGCTTATTTTAAATCTGAACTACTGACAAGGAGTAACGTGTTTTTCACTTCATATGGTGGCTTAAGGATTGTTTTGTCTTGATCTGCCTGAATTTGACTTTTTTCGAACCTACCACCCTCAGCAACAGACAAATATGAAGGCAGTAGGCAAATCTGTTATCGCCCTGGCCTAAAGTACACCACACATATTTATGCAGCGGTTCATACTAGGATTGACCTTGTATCAAACATGGATTTAACGAGCTCCTACAGCGATGTTAGACAATGCGGAGTGGAAACAAATGAGAACTAATGGTACCGGTTTTAAACAGGAGGTTTTAACTGTACGCAATTAGGCTACCTACTTCATGAAAGTCCAGCCGTGGTTTAGGGTCAGTTATTGATGAGACATCTTGACTGATCTTGGCGCATTCAACCAAAATAAATGCGTCTCTATCCCACCAATCGGGGGTTTCAACCATTCAATGATGCTTAAAACTTTACTGATAAAGCGTAAACTTATTTTCGATCAATATAAGAGTACATATGGTTATTCCAGTTCCTTTTTTTTTACCTTGTTCACATCGTTGGCCCTGCCATCCAGGCTGGCAGATGCAGTCGTACTCGTTTGGACGAGTGGAGACGCAAATACCTCCGTTTTGACATGATTGCCCCCGTGTACATATTGTAGCCGGTGCTTGAGACTGTTCCACCGTACTCCCATCTGACTGGATTGATTTGGTGCGATCATCCTCGTGTACCACTGCAGGTGGGGAACTGAATTCCTCATTGGCACTACATAGTGGTGCTTCGGATAGACCAGAGCTCACTCGTTTCATCCCAATCCATGCCAACTCGGTACCAGCACCACTGAGTAAATCGATTCGTTGAGGTTGTTTGTTTGAACCGGCGATCAAATTTACACGAAGCAGGCATCCACCGAAACCATCGTTTTCTTTTGCGCTGGGTGGAGGCCAAGTCCTGTTCAATATAAATGAGGACTGTGATGATGTTGAGACCAGCTCAGAAAACAATCAATAACTAAATAACACAGAAGATGCGGTAGGATCGTATGAAGGCCATACATGAGAACTTTGTCATCCTTCTTGTCGAGTACGCCTGGACACAATTCACAGGGGTTGTATGGTATGTATATGCTTAAAAACTTCATAAACGAGAGATTCAGCTGGGTTCCAGGTGAGCCTCCTGCCAAATCAAATTGGTTTGCAAATGAGTGTATTTGTTGAAATCAGTCCAATATGGATTCAAGTAGAACGTAAGGTTGACGGAAACTCGGGGATTGGGCTACCTGATGAGCCCCAAGAAGGGCGAAATCGGTCGTTGGTTGTCGAAGAGTTTTCAGCAACCTTATGATTAGTGTATTGAGTTTATACACGTGACCTTTTGACCAATGGTTTCGAGTGTCAACCGTATGGCAAAATGTTTGAGAATCACTCCGAGGAGAATCATACATACTAACTAAACAACGGCTCCGCACCCTTTCGGACAACATGTGGAATGATTTTAAACGGTCGAAATTCTTTCAGTCAGTTGAAAGCCAACGAAATAAAAGCACAAGTCAACTGCTTTACTCACCGCTGAATCGCAGGAAACAAGGGTCGACCAATAACGATAGTCTTGTAGCCTCCTACCGGTTGGGTGATATTTTCTGCTGTAGGGTGCTGGAGTATGGGCGCTTCCGTTACCAGGGTGGTTTGTACACCGTCCAACTGAAGCCACGGCTTGTTATTAATCACGCCCACACGTATTTGGTGAAGCGTATTAGGGCGTATCGTCTCCGGGGCTTGAACCACATACAGCCGGTCTGGTATGCGACCATTCAGGTAGCTGTTTGGAGGCAAAACGAAGCGTTATGTGAAAATAGTTGTTGGGAATTACATTTGCTACACAGAAGAGCGAGGACGACAACTTCAGCTTCACTTTTGTACATGTATGGGTCAATTGGGGGAATAGAACGATTAGTCCGATGAAGATGTTATCGGTTGTAACTCAACCACTGAAAAACATAAATTTAATAATCTTGAGGCACATATATATACATTGATGTTTCTCCAGTTCTTTATTATGTCCGCCCGCATTCTCAATGTTTCTAATGTTGCCAATTTTCGTATATCTATTATTTTAGCGATGGAGTTGGCATAGTACTCTTCCACAATAACCCCCATCTTCAAGATAGACCCTCCAGAATAAAAATGATTCTTCGAGGGAATCCGTCGTCCGTAGTCCTGTCCGGAGGTCAGCCGTCCCTAATAACCGAACATCACATCATTTGGACGGATGTGTCACGTGCAGGGCACGGACCAAACGAAGCCATACCCTGATTGGTCAGAATGCCAGCCAATCCGGATCGAGCATCTTTGACTCGACGCTTCTCACCCCTCACAGAGATTCTATTACGACCTTGTGGAACACTCTGTGACTACCCTATAAATGCAGTTGTAATAATGTTCCATTGTCTCCATAAAGGGCTGTGTAGAGCTACCGTGCCTTTTGATAACTATAGTGGGTAAAGCGGGAAGCCAAGGGATCGATTACAGATTTTCACAGTATGCTAACCACCGGAAAAGGTTGTTGGTTGTATTATCCTACAGGATATCCGGACAAGTGGGCGTATACTTATGCAGTATTTGTTTTGACTGTAGACTTCCATTTTGCGCCTACATGTTATGATTCGCTCCATACAAACTTTTGACCTCTGAAAGTGTGGGATGGAAAACGGACCCCATTACGCTACCCTGGCTCATGAACCGAGTTAATGCGGAAAGGCTGCAATCACCAATCTTCCAAGCCGAGGTTGTTTTAACGTGTGCTCCTCTCCTGAAATTGTAGGGCCTATGTCTACTCGGGATACAGTTCTTGGAGTAGATCCTGTCTTGAGGAATATGCGTAATATGAGTTTACAACTACTCAAATCTAAGGCGGAAGCTGCCTATCGCGTGACAGTTGTATGCGAGGTCAAGTCTAAATAAACGAACAACCTGTCGAGCGTTTTTGTCAGTCCACCTCAGTCTTTCGATAGATGAAGATTTCTGTGAGTGCGTATTAAATGCGAGGCCAAGGGAGATTGAAAACCCTAAACTATCTTACCAGCCAATTATCAGGCTAGTGAGCAACTCAATCCATTTTCTGAGAAGTAAAAACCAGAACTTACGACCAAAATCACAATTATACACTATAAGTTGCGGTATATTTAAATCCGAAAGAAAAAGTAAACTAAGACAACTGGATTGGCTCCCCAAAAGGTAGCTTCTAGAAGCTTCCACGCAATTTTCGAAGAGAGTTTTTGGGCATCTAGGTATGTGATGTTGGATATGTGCATTGTTTGAAGGGATTTCTGAGTAACAACTTGGAAATAAATTCCTGCGGTGCTGACCAAACGACGGAGATATGGAGCTTTAAAGCATAGCAGGTGAAGCACTCTACGCCTCCAATGATGTTGTAGTGACTGATATTTCCGATCCTGAAATACTTTTTCGCACAAATTGCGATACGCAACACATTCCCGATCGGATATTCACCTAAGTTTGGGCCACTGCGACCTTTCCTGTCCAACCAATGACGGCCAGTGCCTTATAAAAAACCTCATGCACTTCGCCACAAATACACAAATAATGTATAGAATAAAGAACATTTTGCAAGCACAGTTTGAGAGAAAACTAAGGATGTATGGAACTTTGTTTCGTGACGTGAATTCACAGCAGGAGACCGTATGGAGCAAAGTATAGAACCAACTTCAACTAATGTTAGCCGGGGAGTGTTTACGCTGACTCACTGTTGCGACCTTGGTTTCCTGTCGCTATTGGTTCAGTTTAACAGCCATAAGCCACGTGTTAAGTGTAGGTTGGTTACAGCCGCTACAGATTCGGCTGCCAAAAAACGGGACAACGTGAGAGATACAGCGAAGAATTGGAGGCGTTAGAATGAACGCTTAGTTCTGGAAACTTGGAAGGTGTCCATTGAAGGCGATGGCTTTGATACACAAATGCCATTGGCTGTGCGACTGGGCCATTTCTGCCGGTGTTTTTAACAGTGATGACTTGTGTCCCGGGGTCCTTGGTCAAGCAGATGGCAGTAGTTGACGGTTTGCGTCTCCATACTTCCTTCCCAGGTCACAGAATGTCCCTGTTCTCGGTTCCTTCCAATCAGCACAAAGCTGGGCAAAATGTACCCTGCGGAGCAGATGACCCTCTTGCGTAGTGAATAAATGTCCTAACCAGTTATCGAACTCTGCGCCACAGTTCCACAGGGAGTCTGAATGCTATCCTGTGAGACAACAATCAGTTGACTCTATGATCCCACCTGTCCCTCATAGGGGTGTGGTTCAGCGCATTCACCCCATGGAACACGGGGGGGGGGGGTAAGAGGGACCCGTGGTCTATTTGTGACAATGAGCGGGCACAATAATTGTGCACGACAGAGTCTTGGAAATGAATTATCATTTTTATGGCTAGTTCGCTACTCTATTTGTGACAATGAGCGGGCACAATAATTGTGCACGACAGAGTCTTGGAAATGAATTATCATTTTTATGGCTAGTTCGCTACTGAATCGGTTTCTTCAGCCTAGCTCTGAGCACGTCAGTTCAAACTGAGCAGCGGTGTACCTGAGTTTGTTTGAACCTAATGCACGCTCAGATTCACTGCAAACTTTGCGTTCTACGCTTGCGTTCTTTGGATACATTGACACCAAACGCTGTCTCAATTACAGCGTAAGATTCGCATAAAAGGTGATTTTTAAGCGCATACTATCCCCTGTTGACAAGCAATCGACCTCAACGATCTCATCAGCTGCATTTAGCTTGTTTATCCGATGCCCAATAGCCTAAAATCTGAGGAAATGTAGCTCTTAACCGAAAGGTCGAGATTCGAACCCACTGACTGCTTTGTTGGTCTTATCTAGGGTTAGGTAATCAACCGTCCACCTTCTCCAAAAGTTGCACAGTCTATGCATCAAGTGTGAACGGTTTGATGTGATACTGGCGAAAATATATAAACTAGTAAAAGCTGTTTATCCATGCACTTATAAAGTCCATAAAGTTACCTAAACCATCCGCTCTCTTTAGACTTAAAAGATTGAAATAACCAACTTGTCTGCAGCCCTCTCAGAAGCTGTCTTAATTCAGTTTCCTGAAACCTATGACCCAAGCCCATTACAGTACTCTACCAAGTTGTTTGTCAATGTGTTATCAGCACAGAGTCCATATTCTGACCCGTCTTGCTTTGTTGAGGATTGCTCACTATATGCTGAGCAATTCATTCCCGCGGTCACTGACACCCCAAGTGGAGAACTGTTTGCTGATCACGTGATCGTTTGCCGAGCTTGGTAGTTGGCTTATAAAAGTTTCCGAGCTTGGCAGTTGGCTTATGAAAGTTCCGACGATCTTCGAGGTCACATCACCAGCGTGTGCGGTTGGATGGGATCGTATGAGCAACCAGATCAACACCCATCAATGTTCTGACTACTTAAGCCACCTCAACGCATTTTGTGGGTTGATCACCTGAACATTTTCCCTTCTACCCAGACAACGTAACGGGTTTTGGGATTGTGAGGTGTTTACTTTGGACAGTGATGCTAAATGTTTCGATATGATCCTTTTGGAAAAAAAACGAGTACTTGTCACTCAGAAATGTTTCTGGATAGTTGTGAATACTGCGAACCTACTTTCAGTATAATCATGACTCGGCGAATGTGTGTAGTGTGCGGTCTCAAGACTGTCCCAGTCACTCACACCCTTGAAAAGACTGCAAAGACCCACTACGCTGCAGATAAGTCCTGTTAGATGGATTGATTGCAGTGAAACACCCCCATGTTGGGATAGGCTTTATGCTACCAGTTGAGGTGTATATCAGGACTTCATTTACCAAGCCGTCTCACCAGCTGAGTTTCTTCTGGGAAAAATTTGAGAATCAACACAGTACCCCTTTATTAGATTGCCAAGTGGACATATACAAACTGAGGTCTGCAGAAAGACAACGCAGGTGGACCATAATCCAAGCTACGACAGCAATCATTCAAGCTGTCAAAAGCAGAGCCGTATGCGGATACTCTTCAAACGGATTGAGTTGCGCAGGATAGCTATGGAGTTTAAGGTTAAAAAGAAAAAGGGATCATTCAAGAACTTTCAAGGATATGGATGCCTGAGAAACTGACTGAAGAAACCCAGTACGACCAACCCAGTGACACCCGGGGAAGGCAAACAAATCACGCTTCTATACATTGAAAAGGTTGAAGAATTGACCGCAGCATTCTGACGACAGCATCAAACAACGATGAAATGAAAATAGGTGAATATCATGCGGGGGCACTATCAAAACCAAAAGAAAAAGTGAACTCAACACCTGAACTCACCTACATTCCACACGTCCTCCGGAGATGCCGAGACGAAATTGATGATCTCTCAAGTTTTTAACTAGCATTTGCTCTTGTTCGGTTGGAGCTATACGATACTGTAGGAGGTTCCCATCTTGACCAGAAAGCACCACATCTAATTCGATTGTGATTGGCTGTTCAAATGATTTTGGTGCCGGTATTAGCAGCGTGGTTTCCGGACTAAACTGACGTCCGGTAATGATCTCGTTAGTCTGCGGGCTGTCCGGTGGTGACGTGTTATTGTCTGATTTTGATTTGGCTTCTGCTTTCACTGAGGGATTCTCGGTAGCGCGATGACCTGTGTGCAACGGGAAAGTGGAGACCGATTGTGTAGAGCGAGGAGAGCTAATATGCATGATGAAATTGCTGCGGTTGGAATACTTCTTACTATCGCACTGATATACTTCACCATAACGTGTAACGTGCTGGCTGACCCAAAAAGAGCGTGAAACCGGTAGTGAGCATATGGACGGTCGACCTACACAGAAAACACTCAAACTACTTAAATATGTGAAAGTAGCATCAACCTGTTACAATTTTATGCCTCAGGTTTGTCCTGTGATCCGCACAGTCGCACAAGGCAGTTTACGCGGTTATCGCAATGTGTGGAAGTAAAAAAATACTTTGCCGCTCGCAATCAGAGTTGTTCTTCGCGCTGAATTGCCAAGCCAAAATGGGGCCTCATCCCAGAATTTAGCCTGATGCGATTTTCCGCAGGTAGGATACCATCGTGGATGTCCAGCCACAACGGCAGCGAATCCGTCTTCCTGTGGCCCCAGTTTAAGCCTTTGCCTATTAACATCATTGGACATATTTCGGCGTTTAATTCAATGAAATTTTTCTGGTTTATTTTATCAGAAGTGCTTTCCCGATCGACAGCTCCAGTGGTATCTCTAGAGTTGACGTCCGCTCCATGGGATTTTAACCCAAGACCATGTCGACGAAGACACTTACTTCAAGAGACGGGATCAACTGGTTCCAACTCTTGAAAAACATGCGATTTAGCTGTAATTACCACAAGGTGGTGCCAGTCTCATGCAGAACGAAATATCACAGTGTGTTTTGCAATAGAGCCAATGAATGAATGTTTTCGACTGCCGAAGTCAGTCCGATGCAGGTGCATTGTCTCTTTAAAAATTGAAGATTGCTATTGTTGAGGGCAAGATACTGACGGGTGGACATTCAATCACCTGGAAGTAAGTATTCACTCCACATTTTTTAAACTAAAGTAAGTAGAAATACTGGGATTTCTTTCCATTAGTAAACCTCGCACTCGTTTTGTCCGGATTATAGCGGTTGTATTCCCTTCTGTGAGTCTTTTTTCTCCGGCATTAGGCACTGGAGCAGGTCAGCAGCAGATACCACAGATTGACGAATCATCAGATATAACAAAATCGATCTCAACGCATCTCTGGCGCGGCATTTCGAATCCGGATAGGAACAGCTTTTTGGTACGCAACATGGCTCAAACTCCCCCTCACATCGTAAACACGCATCCTATTTTCGATGTAATCATTACAATTACCTGTGAGGAATTCCTTCGTCAAACCGGTGAACTGTTAAATCTGTTTTCCTTTTGGAGTTATTGTCTGTTGATGTGCCTACACAGGACTCGTTCTACAGTTTGCTTGGGCCGTAGCAAGCATCCGTTATTCGGCGTTAGGGAAGGCGTTAAATTACCAGATAGAATTCGATTTGATCTCATTGCATAAATGAGGGCAGTCAAAGACAGTTTTGGCCCCAGGATGTTTTGGTGCTAAGGAACGGTAATCGTAATCATCTATAAAACACTACACCAACGAACTAGTAATTTCATTTGTGAAGTGTTGCGGGATAAATATTTTGTTCCTCCTGTTCTGGTGTAATTAGTCCGGGGACCCCACACCAAAGGGAAGCTCTGGACTGGAGTTTCGCCCTCATTAGAGCACACCAGCAGCGCATATCCAGAGGCGTGCGAGGCAAGCGTGATAACGCAGAAGCGTCCAAGGTGCATTGGTGGAGTAGTAGCTCTCATGTCAGATGTCCGAAGCTCAAATCCCTGCACGGCCTTGGGATATGCACTACTGATGAACTCCAATAAGAGCGGAACTCGGATTATTAATTGTCAGATGGCCATTCATCAGAGCCAGCCCACTGCGAGTAGAAGATATCGCCTCGAGTTACGAAGAACCGTTAGACAGCGAGCGTAGCTGTATAAGCCGATCGGCGGCCCATTGTTCGTTGAGAGCCAGACTTTGAACGAAGCTCCTTTTAGCCAAACCCAAAACCCATGAAGAAGTATAGATGAATATTGCTAAATATGGCTTCGCAAATAGGGCGGTTGTCATTTTGATTAGAACATCCGATATCCTATCTCAAAAGTCCATATTGTTCCAAATTTTGGTATGTATTCATGCTACAAGCATGTTTGGTCCATCCATCATTGTTGCCGTTCAGACATTGCGCATGAAAAACGAGCTGGAAGGTTGGAGAGGCTCTCATGGTGGACAGCAATTTGCAATTACAATCAAAATAGTTTATTGGCTAGATCAGCGAAGGACTTATTGAGTCAACTTGATACAAATAACTAGCTTAATCTTTCTCGGTAAGCGAACAAGCATATGAGCGGTAGTGGGAAGCGATGAAAGCGTTTTTGTCTTTGTTAAGGTAGGCCAAGATTCACAAAGATGTACACGGTGTCCATAAAGTGTTTTAATTCTTAGGCGTACGACGTCTTTTAAGTTACCTAGTCATCTCGATGTCACACAGGTGTTTTTGCATAAAAATACCTAAATAATTTTTCATGATAAGTATTAGAATTATAAACAAACTGGAAGCTTGCCAGAGAATTTGAGAAGAATATGGGGAGAAAAATTCGATTTGTATTTGGTGAGCGTACTACTAACCTGAAGTCACATTTTCCACATTACATCCGGACTTTGTTACGTATCCGCCATCTGGACAAATGGAGCACTGTCGACCGACCACACCTGGGCGACAGTCGCACTGTCCACTTGTTTGGTCGCAGTTGGTGCTCACAGAACCATCGGGATGACAGGAGCAGGCTGCAGAAGTTGTGGAAACGGGTGTAACACGAAACCTCTAGGAGTGAGCAGCTAGAACGGGAGTCCATTTACAACCGAGTGGCGAAAAATAACGGTTTTGATAATGATTTTGCTAGGTTGGGCATACTTGATGATCCAAGTCTCTCAGTAAGGATCATGGAATTTATACTACCTACTTGATTATACACGAGTAGTCAAATTTTCAAACAAATTTTTCGCACCTTGATTGTGCTCAATCAATCTAAACAAATTCGTCTGGAGATTTGATGTCAACTTTTCCAGCACCGGTACCATCACGGAAATTGTTGCCCAAAATGGGGAAATAATTTAATCGGAATAGGGTTGAACTCTTGTTAGCTATCTCAGTTGTTCCATTGTTACTTCGTGTTACCAACACTATTCTTCCTACAACCCACCAAGATTCAAGATTGGTGTACACGGACACTTGCTGCGTATCTCATGCTTTTGGCTAGAAAATAGGAGAACAAACTCATCAGTGCATAACTTTGGAGTCAAAGACGGAAGCCTGGATGTTCTCGTCAATCAAGACGAGCAACATGGCGACGGTGGAGATGGTGCGACTGACAAAAACAACGGTACGGACACAAGCCAACGCTCGGCATCGCCCTTTCTTATGGAGGTGACAAGAGATTATAGTCTATGTGAAAAAATCAATTCAAAACGCTTCATCTTATTCTGAAGATCACCACCTGCTATTCCTGCTAAAGGCATCTATGTTAGTGGGACCCGGAGTCCTTCCCGTTTTATGTTCTGTAAAAGTACCCGGTTTTTCTGTAGGAAAATTCCATTGTCTCATCTAGGCGTCATTTGTGTGACACATCACAAGGTCGTTGAGATTTATTCACTGTCTGGACTTTTAAAAAATATTTAGCGTTGATCTATTTAGAATTGGAGCTGTCAGCTTATCTGGTTTACGAAGTTAAAACAAATACACGCAGTCTCGAATGCTTGCAAAGTAATGCATCACTTTAAGCATTCCGCAGCCAACTGGTTTTCAGCTTCACCTTTGAAACTCATATTTTCCAGGTCCTAGAATGCCTAAGGAGTAAGGAATACGACTGTGAGTTTCGTACCTTGTTGGACAGATGTCTACAACCCCTGAATTTAGGAAAATTCTACGGAGAACTGTTCAATTTTGCAAACTTGGTTGACTATTAGAATACACTATTAAGGTACCATCAGGGATAAACACAGTACTTGGTATTAGAATACACTATTAAGGTACCATCAGGGATAAACACAGTCAATTTGTAGCACCTGATTTCGTGGATGGGATTCTGACATAAATGTAAGCTCACACAGGGGGTTAGCAACACGGATATTTTGAAATGTATGGGTAATTTGATAGATCGGAGGTTAAAGGGGACAGCAAATAACTCACCGATACACTCGTGTCCATTCTGTAGGCCCCAGTAGCCGGCAACACACTGATCACATTTGTCGCCTTGAACATACCACTTACATCGACATCGACCCCTGTGATCACAGAACTCGGACAGAGCACCAACTTTGTTACACGTGCATTGACTAACCTGCACTTCATCTGTACGGATGAAGGGAGAAGATTGTTTGAGTACGGAGTCATTTGTTGACCAAAGTCAACCAAACGGTTACAAACTACTTGAAACGAAAGTAAGAGCCACATTCGCAAAGCGGTTTTGAAAAGTCAACATCCCCAACGTTCTTCAAAGTCTCCTGACTGTTGTATGAATACAAAACACTGACGAATCAACACTGCATGACGGTTCAATTATTTCGGTTTCAACATTCCATCAGACGCAAGGATACCGCTTTATCACTCGACTAAATTCTACTCTTCTGTTTCATCAGTAGTATACACCGCCACACGGATAGTGCAGTAGGAATAAACCTAGACGTATGAAACATCATAATCAATGTAGGACAAACTGCGGTGAAAGATAACCGCAACAGGCCATTTTGTGAGTCTCATTTTCCTGTAGATGACTAATTTTAGAGGTCAACGTGATTGGCGGTGTTCAACTGAAGATACATTAAGTCTGTCGGCATAAATCGTGTTCCTGCGGGCAGTCGTTGCCTTTGCCGATGTAACATTAACGTGCATGCGTAGGTTGATCAAGGGCAGTTCGCTTGCGTGCCACCATAAAATGTAATCATCAAGTGACAAAAAACCAAGGTAAACTGTGATCGGTGAATTTTTCGACTGGTTCCAACATGGAATTTGGCGTAGAATAACTTTGTTTTTGCATCGTTCTACGTACGTCAGCCGCTCATTTAGGACGGTATTTCTAAAATTAATTTCAGTTGCTGGTTCACTGACCCAATATCCCGTTTCGTGATTTGGATTATGTAAGTGACTAGCTACATGCCATTAATTG